CGGAACCGGTGCCGTGACGGGGACTTTTCTTTGCCGAATGCCGAGATTGCACTCGATAAAATTGCCGAGTGCCCGATAAAAGGCGCTCGGCAAAGAATTCTTTGCCGATGGATTTTTTACCGGAGGCGCTTTGCCGAGAGTGCTGCTGTTCTCGACAAAGACTTTGCCGAGGGCAAAATAGTCTTTGCCGAGTGCATTAGGCACTCGGCAAATCGTCTGAATCCAGTAGGGAATTGATATTTCTTTGATTGTATCTTATCCCATATTATCCTCTCGTGATACTTTGTCGAGCTGGTCCAATGGCGTGCGAGATTGGTAGGACGCCCATTGCTCTCACTGGACTCGCTCCAGCCGGTTGCTCGATGCGCGAGGACACAACTGGAGGGAAAAAAAAAACGAGCACAGAGCACTTGCGGCACAGGCGAATGACTTCCAGCCACATGGCGTTCCCCACCTCCGTGGTCACCCACACAGTCACACACTCCCCTTTATCGGCCTCCCGCCCTCCCCTATCTCCATCCCGCATCCCCTCCCTCAGCACCTGAACCGGACGCACTACTGCTGCTATAGGCAGGCGCATCCCCGGCGCCCCCCCACCCACCCACCCCCCCCCGGCCACTTTCCTCCCTCACCATTCATGCACTGTCAGTGCCACTGTTAGCTCGCAGCTCAAGCTCGCCACTAGCATTTGGGTCAGTTCTTCTTCAGGAAATCGATCGAGCTGGTTTGCCACCATTGTCAGGCAGAACCTGTTGCATTCTTGAGTTGAGCAGAAGGAGGAAAAGAAGCAATGGCGCTGTCGACGACGTTCTCTGTTCCAAGGGGATTCCTCGCCGTGCCAGCTCGTCAGGACTCCCATTTCGCTTCGGCGGTCGAGCAGCTCCATGGTCACAAGTTGATCCAGGCCAGGCCTCTCAGGGTAAGCATGTCCTCTGCCTGCTAAGCTTAATTTTCTTGGCCTGTCTGCGTGCGTGCTTCAGTTCAGCTATGGTGGTTAAATTTGATGGCCAATATAATGCCGCGTGCAGCCTCGGCGTCGGCCGGCATGCGTGTCGGCGTCGCTGTCGGAGCGCGAGGCGGAGTACTACTCGCAGCGGCCGCCCACGCCGCTGCTGGACACCATCAACTACCCCGTCCACATGAAGAACCTGTCGGTGAAGGAGCTGCGGCAGCTGGCCGACGAGCTCCGGTCCGACGTCATCTTCCACGTGTCCAAGACCGGCGGCCACCTCGGGTCCAGCCTCGGCGTGGTGGAGCTCACCGTCGCGTTGCACAACGTCTTCAACGCGCCGCAGGATCGCATCCTCTGGGACGTCGGCCACCAGGTACGCCACAGCCGCCGCCAATGGCGCTCGCGGTCGCGGCTCCAGGGGCTGGTCTCTTGTTCTTCCTCTCTCTTTATTTTTCTTCTTTACCCCACCGCTTTTTCTCCCTCATCCTCCCCATATTTCCATTGATGCACGGGCTGGAGCCCCCCAGCCCCAATAGATCCGCCCCTGCCTCTGGGTAACGTGCGCGGCCATGTGAGCGTGCCGGGCAGGTCGCGGACAGATCAGGCTAACCATCCTGCTGTTTGTTTGTTTATGATGATGATTGCAGTCGTACCCGCACAAGATCCTGACGGGGCGGCGCGACAAGATGCCGACGATGCGGCAGACCAACGGGCTGGCGGGGTTCACGAAGCGCGCCGAGAGCGAGTACGACTGCTTCGGCACGGGCCACAGCTCCACCACCATCTCCGCGGCGCTCGGGATGGCGGTGGGGCGGGACCTCAAGGGCGGCAAGAACAACGTGGTGGCGGTGATCGGCGACGGCGCCATGACGGCGGGCCAGGCGTACGAGGCCATGAACAACGCCGGGTACCTGGACTCCGACATGATCGTCATCCTCAACGACAATAAGCAGGTGTCCCTGCCCACGGCCACGCTCGACGGGCCCGTGCCGCCCGTCGGCGCGCTCAGCAGCGCCCTCAGCATGCTGCAGTCCAGCCGCCCGCTCAGGGAGCTCAGGGAGGTAGCCAAGGTAAGTCCTGTCCTGTCCGCACAAACCTTCAACGGTCCGGTTAGGCACGCGTCACTCACGTTAAAAGCAGTGAGTGGTGCACATAAACAGAGGCTGAAATGAAATTCCGAGCTGGCCTCATTCTCACGGCACGGCAGCGTGTAGATTTTTTTTTTTCTGAAATGGCAATAAGCAGTAATTCGTATTGTGCATATATATTTTTTATTCAAATTAAGATAAACTCACCATAATTAGGAATCAAATGGGAAATTGTCAACTAGCTGGCATCATCAGGCAGGTAGGCAGCAGACGTAACGTACGTGTCAGTATCACCGTGACGCGATGAGCTTTGGAGTTTCTTGAATCTGCCGTACGAAAGCGCCTGAACGAAACTCGTTAACATTAGCAGTACGTGCCAAAATAAGCTGCGTCAGATGCAGAGTGACGTGCACTAATCTTCTTCTAGGGGCCATGCATGGACACATGTTCAGCACCAGAAATGTCGATGATGCAGCGTATAACAATGTTTTTTCAGTTTTTTTTTCAGGTGAAACAATATTTTTCTCTCGCTAACAAATCAGCCGGAACAATGTTTCGGTTTATTTTTTCAGCGAAACGAACAGGGCCAATCTGTAGATTCGAGTAGTGCCCACTAGGCAATCTTTGTACTATAAACAAAGCTGCTCAAAGGATGGATGGATCGATGCAACAAGTTGACTCTAGAAATAGTTTAATCATCGTCTCAAAATACTCAAGCTTATTGAATCGTTTTCATCTTGTATAGTACTGTACTGGTCATAAAATTGCCTGGGCTAGGCTCTAACCGGCCCATTCTTGTTGGGCCGATAAGGTTTATAGAAGGAATCGGCGTCCCAGGTTTGCATCTCTGACCGACCGACCGTTGGCGTGCTTGCGTGTGCAGGGAGTGACGAAGCAGATCGGCGGCTCAGTGCACGAGCTGGCGGCGAAGGTGGACGAGTACGCCCGCGGCATGATCAGCGGCCCCGGCTCGTCGCTCTTCGAGGAGCTCGGCCTCTATTACATCGGCCCCGTCGACGGCCACAACATCGACGACCTCATCACCATCCTCAACGACGTCAAGAGCACCAAGAGCACCGGCCCCGTCCTCATCCACGTCATCACCGAGAAGGGCCGCGGCTACCCCTACGCCGAGCGAGCCGCCGACAAGTACCACGGTACCACACGCACCGCATGATGACTTGAGCACGCCATTGTTTGCCTGATATGTTACTAGCAGATCGTACCCGATCGATCTGTGCGTGATCTTGGTCGTTCTGGCTTTTGATGCATGCGGTGCGTGCAGGTGTCGCCAAGTTTGATCCGGCGACCGGGAAGCAGTTCAAGTCCCCCGCCAAGACGCTGTCCTACACCAACTACTTCGCCGAGGCGCTCATCGCGGAGGCGGAGCAGGACAGCAAGATCGTGTCCATCCACGCGGCCATGGGGGGCGGCACCGGGCTCAACTACTTCCTCCGCCGCTTCCCGAGCCGGTGCTTCGACGTCGGGATCGCGGAGCAGCACGCCGTGACGTTCGCGGCCGGCCTCGCCTGCGAGGGCCTCAAGCCCTTCTGCGCCATCTACTCGTCGTTCCTGCAGCGCGGCTACGACCAGGTTGTGCACGACGTCGACCTGCAGAAGCTCCCGGTGCGGTTCGCCATGGACAGGGCCGGGCTGGTCGGCGCGGACGGGCCGACCCACTGCGGGGCGTTCGACGTCGCCTACATGGCCTGCCTGCCCAACATGGTCGTCATGGCCCCGTCCGACGAGGCCGAGCTCTGCCACATGGTCGCCACCGCCGCCGCCATCGACGACCGCCCGTCCTGCTTCCGGTACCCGAGAGGCAACGGCATTGGCGTCCCGTTGCCGCCCAACTACAAAGGCACTCCCCTCGAGGTACGTACGTCCATACATTGGTCTCTTTTGCTGATTTTATCAATCGGGGATCTTCAATCAATTTTGTTAATCGGCATATATAATATAGGTCGGCAAGGGCAGGATCCTGCTGGAGGGCGACCGGGTGGCGCTGCTGGGGTACGGGTCAGCGGTGCAGTACTGCCTGGCCGCCGCGTCCCTGGTGGAGCGCCACGGCCCCAAGGTCACCGTCGCCGATGCGAGGTTCTGCAAGCCGCTGGACCACGCCCTGATCAGGAGCCTGGCCAAGTCCCACGAGGTGCTCATCACCGTGGAGGAAGGCTCCATCGGAGGCTTCGGCTCGCACGTCGCCCAGTTCATGGCCCTGGACGGCCTCCTCGACGGCAAACTCAAGGCAAGTTCCGTCGATGGTCGCCCTAATGATAATGAAACATTTGTTTCGAACTTCATCCTCAGTCAGCTGACCAGTGATGAACTCGGCTTTTGCTTGGGTGGTGCAGTGGCGGCCGCTGGTGCTTCCTGACCGGTACATCGACCATGGATCGCCGGCCGATCAGCTGGCCGAGGCTGGGCTGACGCCGTCGCACATCGCCGCGACGGTGTTCAACATCCTGGGGCAGAACAGGGAGGCTCTTGCCATCATGGCAGTGCCGAACGCGTAGAAATCTGTGGTGATCTGGGCCTATAGAGATGCTTGTACATTTTGTTGTTAATTAGAATGCCAGCACGGAGATTAGTCTTCTTTGGATGAAAATGCCGCGGGAACAACAGTAACGGTTTCGCTATGTATTCTTCTGACATTAAAATAGGAAGGAGATGTTCTTGCGGCAGTAGTGACTGTGAACCCGACATATCAGAAGTGGCTGCTTGCATTGCTTGTCCATTGCCATGTGAACGACGGTATTGCTTATCCATTTCAAGGAGTGTTATTTAAAAAAAAAAAATCCTCCTATGGCAGTACAAATGAGTAGATTTACACAAGATCCGAGACGCATTCGATTGCCCTCCAAAACCCCGGCATAAATACCGACACCCTGCAAAAAGTGTGTGCATTTCCCACCAGCTCACTCCACTTCCCACTCCACTGCTGTAGCACCCCGATCCCGATGGACGCTGGCCACAACCATGGCCAGTCGCCGCCGACGCCGTCGTCCACGGAAACCCTGATGGCGGCGCTCCTCAACGTTCCAGCCGCGCAGCTCCCCGGCCTCGAGCGGGCGCTGGCCGCCGACGCGCGCCGGCTGCGATCCCGCCTCGCGTTCCTCCTCCTCTCCCCGCCGCACTTCGCCCGCGCGCTCGCGCGGCTTCGCTCGATGCCTCTCCCCGCCAAGGCCGCGCTGCTCGGCCGCGCCCTCCTCCGCTCCCTCGTCTTGCTCCTCCCGGCGCTCTGCCCCGACCACCACCACCTCCTTCTCCAGCCGCCCGACCTCGACGCCGCTCTCCTCCTCCTCGCCATGTGCGACTCCTACTCCCCCGCGGCCGCCAGCCCCACCCCCGTGGACTGGCGCGCGGTGATCGTGGACGACGTGGTGGCGTCCGCGCTCTCCGTCTCCGGCCTCGGCGCCACGCCCTGGGCCGCACTCGCCCCCTACGTCGACGCGGCCGCCAAGTGCCGCCGGTTCGCGGACGTCGCCGCGGTGGCAGCTGGCGACGGTGGGACGACGACGAAGGACGGCGAGGGGAGCGGGGCCGCGTCGTACGCCGCCGTGCTGGCGCTGCCACCAGCGGCCGGGGACGGCGCGCCGTGCGCCATCTGCTGGGAGGAGATGATGGCTCGCGGACGACGCGGCGTGTGCGGGCTCAGGCCGTGCGGGCACCGGTTCCACTGGCGCTGCGCGCTGCCCTGGCTGGCCCGGCGCAACACCTGCCCGTGCTGCCGCGCCGAGCTGCCCGCCGAGGACCCGCTCGCGGAGACGCGGCGGCTGTGGCGGGGCGTCGAGAGGATGGCGCGCGGCGGGTGAAGTGTGGACAGTGTACATGATCGAGCGATGGGACGCCGACGCATTTGGTTGCTTTCGTCTGTCGCGGTACGTGGTTTCAAGTACTAGTGTCAGATTCTGGGACGACGGCGATGGCTCTCATGGTGGCGCTGGGACCTGTGGAGCATACCGAATTATGATGTGGGACTATTTTGTAAGATAAATGAACAAATAAAACTGTGAAGAACATGCTTGAGATTGTCGCTTGCTAATTGTTTGGCCATATATACCATTATACCGTATCATGATTTATTAGGATTGAGGGTGAATGATTTGGTGACCTTTTTTTAGGGCAATGATTTGGTTAGTTTATTTATATTACTAGTTTGTGTGGATCAGATCGATGTTTCAAGCAGGTATAAAGGTGAGTTGGAGGAGGGAGAGGATAGGTTCATAGGTAACTTCGTTTTGCAGCATAATGCCTGCTTTTTATGCTTTCTGGTGATCGTGTGCGTGCCCGGCCGTGGTATTGGCAATGGTTGGCAAGGTTTCATGGAACTGTGGATAATGAGCCGTACTGCTATAACTTGTCGTAGAATTTTTAATTATACTCTCTCCATTTCAAATTATAAGTCATTTCAAAAATCTTAGATAATCAAAGCATTTAAGTTTGACCAAAATTATAGAGAAAAATACAAATATTTATAACATCAAATAGTTATACTAATGAATATATATAATTAATGAAGAATCTAATGATACTTTGTTGATACCATAAATGATATTATCTTATTATATAAATTTGGTTAAACTTAAAATATTTTGATTCTTCGGGATTCCTAAAGTGATTTATAATTTAGAACAGACGGGGTAACAGACGAGACTAGCTAGGCAGGCTACTCTCCATTTATGCAGCAGCTTCATCGGCTGCCCTGTCTCAAGCCTCCCAAGCAGCTCTCTCCTCTTCAAGATACTGTTAATTCAAAAATATTAATAACAAAAAATAAAACAAACATTCAAATATATATATTAACTATTTAGTATTTTGAGGTCTAGGTGTTGAATATTATATGGCGCCCCGGCGTAGCGCGGACCCTCCCAAGCGAGAAACCAAAACTGACGAGTTTAAGGTAGCGTTTGGATCCTATAGGATTTTTACAATTCAAAAAATCCCAAAATCTGAAAATGCCATTAATCACTCTAGGATTTTAGGAGATTCCAACACACAAACACGTAATTAAAAAAACATCAGAAATTATTTTATCCAGAATCCGGATTTAGAATTCATTCGAACAGGACCTAATTAATGTGACCCCAAACATTTTTTAGCATGCGCTTCTTTCAACAGGTCATAAATAAAGAGTTGTACTTGTGTGCCATTAAAAAAAATGATCTTTTTTCTACGAGCCATTAAAAAGTTCGGTCGCACTCTAGTGCCATACATGTAAGCTTTCTTTTTTTTTTTTGCCTCCCAAACTATTTTATCCACTTTCTGTATAGTTTTTGCCGTTTGCCAGACCCGATCAACGAAAATATTCAAAATATCCTTCTCTCGTAACACATCCTCTACTTTTTCTCTCTCTGTAGGGTGGGACCAAACTGTCAGCGACTCCAACACCTTCTTCCTCAGGATTGGGCGGCTACCACCAGCCAGGCCGCACGGGGCCCACGGAGCCCACGGCGGCGGCGGCGGCGGCCAGTCTGGCCTGCCTACTCGTGGCCAGGGGCGGCGGCCGCGCCCGAGACCGGGGCTGGCCTCGATTCGGACCTGGTTCGCACCCGTGCGGTGGCGGTGATGAGCAGCCATGGTGGGCTGGGGCGCACGCGCCCAAGGTGGCCGGAGCTCGCGGGGCGAGGCACACAGGGGCCCACGCGGCTCGGGGAGCACACGGTCGTGCGGCCATGGCAGGCAAGGGCGCACGCGGCCGTGCGGCCATGGCGGCCGGAGCTCGCGGGGCCATGGCGGGCAGGGGCGCAGGCTCCAGCACCTGTGCCTCCCTTGGCGCGCTCGCCGGCAGGAGCACGCCATCTGGACGGACGAGGAGGAGGCCAGGCTGCTCGTCGTCACCCCGTCCAAGAGCGGGGCCAGCAAGGCCGCTGGGGTCGGGGACGAAGGGCACTCGCGCATGGCGGACGCGTCGAAGCTGGTGACACTGACCCACGCTGCCGCCGCGCCTAGATGCGCCGGTCCTGCTGCGCCGTGCACGGAGGACCGCCGCTGTCTCCCCGACCGCGCGGCCTCCTCTTCGACGTGCAGTGCGGCGGCGGCGTGGATGGAGGCACGCGGAGTCGCGGTCTCATGGACCCGTGCTGCCCAGCCGATTGGATAGGGAGAGAGAAAAAATAAAAATAAAAATGAGGAAGGAAAGAAAGGGAGAAAATAAATCCCTGAGAATTTTTTAGGTGGTATTTGGATCATTAGTCCAAGGTAAACTTTAATTATGCTGGGATGTTTGGATCTATGGGCTAAATTTTAGTCTTTTAATCTACCATAACTGATTTATCTTTATTTAATTATCCATGTATAGCCATGTATGCGAGCGACAAGGGGTATGAGGCTTCCAGCGCCCGTCCCAAGGGAGCTTAGCCCAGCTTAAGACCTCTTTGGGAGCAAAAAATTTTAGCCTAGTTTTTAGCAATCTGCTCACTATTAGCCTCCTTATTTGATCTCTATGGAAAAGAAAATAGGTAAAAATGCAGGGTTAAAGTTATGTCATCAGATCTAAACAAGGTCATAAACATTTTGCACCAAAAATTGACGGAATAGCCTAGAAGAAAAAAAAACTTACGTGCATGGTATCAAAATGTGCCCAAATTTTTTTATTGGTTCATAGGAAAGGATATCTTTTTTAATGGTACACGGCTAAAACTCTCATAGATAAATCACCGGCCTAAGATTTCATCTTGAACCCTTGTTAATGGCGCCAGCGTCATTCGGGGAGAAAACCCCAACTCCGCTCACCATCTGCATTAGCCCCCCACTTCCGTCAGGGCTTTTATATTTTTACCATTATTAAGATTGACACTCACCTACAACTTTACCAGATGAGAAAAGTTTGAGTTCTTAATTTACCACATTTGCGCATGTGGCAAGCCACGCCAGCTCGACACGCTGGCGTCCAGTCAGCATAGGCACGTGAAATGTCGTTGCTGCCCCTGCCTGGCTCCTCTCTCCCCTCTCCGACAACCGGGTCCCGCAACTCCTATCGCTGCCAGGTGGGCCCCAGTTGTCAGCTTCGTCTTCCACCTCCAGTGTAGTAGAACAGTTGTAGAAATGTACATCCACGGTCCATCACAATCACAGCATGACATCGGCATTGGACGGCAACCGCCGGAAGAAGCTCATCAGCACTCACGGCTCCTTCCGCCGCAGCAGCGGATGCCTCATCACGTAGACCCCGGTGACAGACACCAGCGCCTTGAACGACACCGCGTAGCTCACGACGGTGAGCGCAGCCACCGCCACGAGCACGATCACCGTGGCACGGCCGTCCCTCCACTCCAGCACTGCGTGCACGCGCTCTCCCTTCGAGGCGACGTCACCGATGAACCCCTGGATGTGAGCGGCCGTTTCTCGGAGTCGCAAGTACCACTGAAGGAGTACCTCCGGCAGGGTCCTCGACGGCAACCCGGCGTCGAACTCCTCCTCGAACATGGCATGGGGAACGCCGTCGCTGTAGTGCTCCATCTGCGCCGGCTGCGCCGGCCGCCGCCAGAAGTTCCACATGCCAACGGCGAAAAGGTAGAGGAAGAAGGTCGGAAGGATGAGCTTGGGCATCCACACCAGCACGAGGAACACGACCAGGACGAGGACGGTGGTGACCGGGTTGTCCCAGTCGTAGGGCCAGCACGTCGCGCAGGCGTGCGCAAGCGGCGAGGGACCTACGCATGTTGTACGTGTAGCCCTCCGCCATGTCGGACCTCGGGTGCGCGGACGGGTCTCGGAGGAGGTAGTGCACGGCGCCCGGGAGCAGCGGCGGCTCGCCGCGCGCCAGGCGGGACACAACGACGTTCGCGGCGTGCTGCCGGAGCCTCGGGAGGAGGTGCGTCGGGATCGGCTTCGCGAAGTGCTGTCTCCCATCCAGGTGCTGGAGCTGGAAGACGAAGCCGACGAGTGGGGTCCACCTGGAAGCGACAGGTGCTGCGGGACCCAGCTGTCGGGGATGGAGAGAGAGGAGCAAGGTAGGGGTAGCAATGACATTTCACGTGCTCATGCTGACTGGGCGCGCGTGTCGAGCTGGCGTGGCTTGCCACATGCGCAAATGTGGTAAATTAAGAACTTAAACTTCTCTCATCCGGTAAAGTTGTAAGTGCTATACTAAAAGTGATAATCGGATTAGCGCCAATCTTAATAATATCTACTATAATTGAAAACTTGAGACTCATCATGGAGGCTTCAACGCTCCCGTCCGTATAAAAGAAACAAACGCCCTCCTCGCGCTCCTCCTCCCCCACATCCTGCCTCCCTCCTCCTCTCCCGCGCCTCTCCCGCCTCTCCTCCACGGACACCTCGCCGCAGGCTGCGTCCTCAAGCTCGATCCCGCCCCTGGCCTCTTCGCCGTGACCTCCCGCCCCATCGACAGCAGCGACGGCGGCGGCGGGGGCTCCCCTGTGCACCGCGTCCTCGTCCTCCGGGCCTCGCCATGGGTCCTTGTCCTTCCACCGCGTCCTCTCGCCGCTCTCTTCTCATGGCGTCCACGCCACGCGCTCGACCTCCCGGCGGGGCTCTCCCGGCGCGCCCGCGCGCGCGCGCGCCCTCCCGGACGGCGCGCTCCGGCGATCATGGACCGTGGCATCTTCCACGCCGAGCACCTCGTGCGACCGGGCGAGGTCCCGTACCAGAGGAGGCGCCACCACCGCCGCGCCGAGGTCTCCGTGACGCCCCGACGAGGCGGTCGCCGTCGTCGATCGCGCGCTGCAGGCGCTCGGGCTTCAGCGTGGCACCCGTCCACCTCGTGCTCCACGACACGCGCTCATGGCGGGCCAGCGCGTTTCGCGTTGGCGCACCGGGGCCATGCGGAGCGTGACGCCTGGTCGACGCCGCCCGCGTCCCTGCCGGCATTCCCGGCCATTGTCTTCGACGTGTGCCCGGCTTTGGGAGGCTTGTGCCGCGAGTGCCGACGCCGTTGTGTTCGCCTCGCTTGGGGCTGTGGCTGCGCCCGGGGTTGGCGCCGAGGAGGCAGCGGCGCACGGGCAGCGATGTGGGGGAGGGGAAGGTGAGGGGTGGTTGAGGCATGGAAGGCGATGAACCACGCTTTCGGCTTGGGGAGTGGAGGGTTCTGGGAGGAGGTGAGGAGGCTGCCGATGCCGGTGCTGTGGTCGGATTCTTGGTCGGACATGTGGATCGATGAGGGGAAGAAAGTGGCGGCTGCATTGCTCGACGCCAAATTTGTTCTACCATTCGGAGGCCGATGGCCTCAGGTCAGTGTGGTGATTTAAATTTACTTGATAATTTCGTCTTATTCCTTATGGAGAGAGTGAGCTTAGTTGGAATTGAGCTTGAACAAAATGTTATACTGCAAATAAATTTCCTAAATTTTGGAGATGGTCAACATTGGGCACGCCACAACTTTTCCAGCTTGTTATGAATTTGTCAGTGAAATTTCTTTTATTTTATTTGCTTACTCACTACCAAATGTCCCTGTATTTCTGTTTTGTCAGATATGGGAATTTGAATATAGTTGATTTCTTCTTAGTTTTTCATGGTACATAAATTTTATCAAAATCCACAGAATACCATCGTTAGCACATTCAGAACTTTCTACTTGTGCCTTGCTTATAGGTAACTTACCACCCACTGGATGTTCTCCGGCTCAGGCTAGCAGTTCAATCTGGACACAGCACTTTATCTCAGGTAACCACTCTTGTAAGTGCAAATTTCTTTTTTTTTTTTTTTGAAACTGGCAAAGCCTGATAACTTTTTTGGTTGCTCTTAACATGCTGAGAGAAGAAGGGCTGGCCTCCTATGGAGGCTTGGGTCCATCTCTTATAGCAATTGCACCCTTATGTTGTTGTGAACTTCTGTGTTTTTGACCTGTGAGATTCCGTCTACTGCATATGAATACTACGATACATGAAAGCTCCACATAAATTTAAATATTTACATCTCATTTTTTAACATTTCATTCTTTTTTGATGTACAAGAATGAAGGAATCTGTCTAGAGAAGTACAAGAATAGACGAGAAACGTCTCTAGCAACTGCTCTTCTTTCAGCAACATTTGCAACTTTGATGTGTTATCCCCTGGACACTGTTAGGAGCCAGATGCAGATGAAAGGCACACCACACAATACAGTTTCTGATGCTATTTCAGGTAGTTATGCTAGCATTGCATGAGCTAATGGCTGAACCCATTTTTAAGTCTGTTTCAATGCTATGCAGGCATTGTGGAGCGTGATGGTCTAGCCAATATCGCCGTAGCGTTAGCACGGGCAACATACCCCATTCTATTTTAAAAATTCCTTATTCTTAGCTGATTTCTCTGAACTCTATACTCCAGTCAGCAACACTCAAATTACTATTTTTAGATTCTTGCAAGTGTTGATAGCATCTCAATGGATAGATGAGTAACATTTAGAGAGGGACATTTTGGTGTTAACAGCACCCCTACATAACACAACAGATGCAGATGAAAGGCACACCACACAATACAGTTCTGATGCTATTCCAGGTAGTTATGCTAGCATTGCATGAGCTAATGGCTGAACCCATTTTTAAGTCTGTTTCAATGCTATGCAGGCATTGTGGAGCGTGATGGTCTAGCCGATATCACCGTAGCGTTAGCACGGGCAACGTACCCCATTCTATTTTAAAAATTCCTTATTCTTAGCTGATTCCTCTGAACTCTATACCCCAGTCAGCAACACTCAAATTACTATTTTTAGATTCTTGTAAGGGTTGATAGCATCTCAATGGATAGATGAGTAACATTTAGAGAGGAATATTTTGGCGTTAACAGCGCCCCTACATAACACAATAGTTTTCCTTTCACACAGTTTCTTGATCGACTCTTCTTCTTTGTATTTTACTTTATCTCATCTTTAGGTAGAGCATGATGATTGTACTACAGCTTTTTCTAAGAGTCACACTATGATATCCTGAATCTATGCATATTCGTGCTACTTCAAGTTTACAAAAGAATTAGGATTTGTGATGACACAACCCCTATTATACTATTCTAATTTGTTGTACTCTCGCATGCAGGTAATGTCCTCAATACACTCTTCACCGGTCTGAATTCTCCTGGCCAGGTTGGTAGGTGATCCTTGTGGCCAGTCATGGCAGGGCATTACTGCTTAGGATACTAAAATGTGAGCCTTGTGATGCAGTATAGTTGTAGGTATCTAATATAATACAGAGATCTCTCCTTTAATTCTCTTAGTGATGATCTATCATAAAGTTTTAAGAAACATCGTCGTTTGGTGTTCTAACGTGTATCTCTAAATTATCGCCGTGGCGTTAGCAGGACACTCTAGTGATAAAAATGTAAAAGCCCCGCTTCCGCCCTGGGACCCCATATAGTGCGTCGCCATTCGTCCTCCGTCGAGTCCCGCCGGAGGCTACCGGGCTGGCATCGCCCACCGTCGTCTCTGCTCCGCGCCTCCGCCCGTTCTCCTCCGCCTCCGTGCTCCAGCCAGGTTCGCCGTTCGTCGAATCCAGGAGCGCCGCCCCTCCCGTCGCCCTTGCTTCCCCGAATTTCATCCGCCTCGGTGCTCCAAGCAGGCTCGGCGGGCGTCGAATCCCGGCCGGACCATTACCGGCGGTTAGCATCGCTCCTCTCAGTCTCTGCTTCCCGTTACTCCCGCTCCTACACACAAGTTTTGCCGCCGCTACTCGCCGGAGAAGACCACGGATTCGCCTCCAACACTCTCCGTCTACTATCCTCAGAGAAGATCCGAGGGTCGCCCCCAACAACACCTGCCAAGAACTCACGGAGAAGAGACTGGAATCGCCCCCAACAGTACCCACCTCCACATGGAACAGATCCACAATCGGTGAGTATCCCTGGAGTCCTTTTATTGGCGTAGGAAATAAATTAATCGCCCATATGCATTCGCGTAGAAAATAAATTAATCGCCCATATGCATTCAGTTCTATTTCTTGTTGGTATTCTTTGAACCAATCTCATATAAATTTTTGTTGAGCCATTGACACCAAAGCATTTTATTACTGCCCTACCCTAGCAAACAGACCAGTGATACTCGTTTTGCTGTATTTTATCCATCATCAGAAAGCAATGGAAGTTTATCCTTGTCTCACGTTTGGGAATAAAATTCACACCTGTACTCATGCCCTAAGGGCCTATCTGGTAGAGATTCACCACTGGGATTCACCATGGATCAGTTTCACCGTGGATCTGAGATCCACCGAGAAAACTGTTTGGCAAAGCTGCAGCTCCAGATCCACGCAAGGGCATTTTCGTTGGAATGGCCAGATTTGCCCTTGGCCTCTAGCTTTCTCTATGTCTTACTGCCACATGGACCCACACGTCAGGAGGAAAGAAACACGGCTTCTTCCACGAGCGCGTAGGAAGCAACCCGGGGGAGCACGAGCAGAGGTTGGGGGCGGAGCAGGGCCGGCCAGGGCGGGCGTGGGGTGCGGTCGGGCGAGGCGCTGCCTGCGGCGGCACGGGCCGAGCGTGGGCCATGGCGGACGGCCGCGGCCAGGCCAGTGCAGGGCGGCGCGGTCGGGCGAGGCTTCGCCTGGGGTGGCGAGAGCCATGGCGAACGGCCGCGACCAGGCGCGGCCTGGCGCTGCCGGGGCGGTGCGGCGCCGGCGAGGCTAGGGACGGTGGCGGCGACGGAAGAGGCCGCGACAGGAAGAAGAACGAGAATGAAGAAAAAAAGAACGAGAAAGAAAATGAACTGTTATCCTGCGTAACGAGTGGTAGTGGCGGGTAATTTCTTCCAAATCCGCCAAACTCAGTTTGTTGGAGCACCCCCTGAGGAGATCCACGAAAATATTGAATCCAACCTTCAGATCCACCATTTTGGCGAATCCGGATTTGGTGGATCTGGAGTGTTTGGAAAATTTTTGGTGGATCCAAGCTCTTGAATCCGAATTTGGTGAATCTGAATCCCTACCAAACAGGCCCTAATTTGCAGGGCTGAGAGGTAACAGTGTTCTGTTGCTCTGTTATTTATCCTCACGATGCTTTGGCAGTTTTCTTTACCTCAGTCAATAATTAATTCATTAGCTGCACAAGTAGGTTAATTTTCATTGATGAGGGAAATGCAAACTGTGTCCATAGCTGAACCAAACTTGATATCCCTGGAGTCCTCTTGTTGGTGTATGAAATAAATTAATTACCCTTTTTGAATTACAGTCCGATATCTTGTTTATATTCTTTCAACCAATCTCATATAGATTTCGCCATTTCGATTGAGCCATTGTCATCAATGCATTTTATTACTGCCCTACCCCTAGCAAAATAGATCAGTGATGATTGTCTTGCAGTATTTTATCCATCAGAAAGCAATAGTAGTTTATCATTGTCTCAAGTTTGGGATTAAAATTAACACCTGCACTATTGCCTTAATCTGCAGGGCTGAGAGGTAACAGTGTCTTGTTGCTCTAATCTTTATCCTCGCAATGCTTTGGTAGTTTTCTTTTACTCATTTAATAATTTAATCCATAGCTGCACAAGTAGGTTAATTTTTAGTGATGATGGACATAACAATTTCTGCTTCCTCTCATACACCAAAATTCACCCTTAACTGCTTCTTTTCAGTGTGATCCACCCTCGGTGCAAGATATTATGAGTAATAAAAAATATAGTAATAAAAAATACCGTTCCCGAGACCGACGCCCCGGTGAATAACAGAGTTAATTTTACTGCACATTGGTCCTGACGGAATTATTTATTAGTAATAAAAAAAATTCCCTGTCCGATGACCGGACGCCCCGGTGAATAATAGAGTTAATTTTACTTCCCTGTCTGAAGACTGGACACGCCCCAATGAATACAGAGATACTATTAGGTTCAAATAAATCAATAATATCCAGGCAGTTTAATGACTTCCGATCTGCTGTTGATCATCATATCATGTCCCCCTATCAGTATTTAATAAACAATATTCTTAACGCATACAAAGTGGCAGACCATTGATCTTGCTAAACAAATCAACCGAATAATTTTTTTTAGCATTACTTATACGTCCCATGGACGTGCCTACTTTTTACTGATGCGTTGGGCAGCGTCATTAATATAACCATATACCACTGCGTGGTCGTTCCTGCTTGTTCCGAAATATACACTACATGCAAGTTGTGTTTTGCGCCTATTTATGCCCATAATCTTTACCACCGCAATTACGGTAATATTATTCTGCACCAAATGCATGTGTTAATTAAGACCGGCAATATAGCAGTGCTGAGTAATTTTGCATTCCAGTGATCCTACATTTGAGACTGAATAGTCACTAAGCACTGCCGTAACTACACATTGAATGTTATTAATACGCTGGAAGGAATATAAACATCATATTCTTCATCTGTCTTGCACAAACCGGTCTTCATGTTTATCACAAAGATATGGGAGGCCACCATGAGGACAGTCTTATTCGCAAGGAGCGCCGGTGGGCTGCTGCAACGGCATCACATGGCACAAGGGGTCCTTCGTCGTCAATCCAGCCACCAGTCACAGATAGTCAGACTGGAGCGTCTCAACCATTGCCCATGCCCATACCCATACAGGTCACTCCAGAAGATCTTGATCATGAAGATGCCACCGACACACCTGCTACGCCACCAGCTACGCTCTCAGCTGCTGAAATCGTCACGCCCGAAGTTGGGAAGACATACACACATGTGAGCCTTTTCGTTTTTATATTTTACTCACCTTTTATGATAAAAATTAGTATTTGTTGTTTAAAATCTTTGCTTTTTCTCAACAGCCCCCGACATTGGCAGAGGATATGATCCCAAAGGTGGGGATGTTTTTAGACACTGAAGAGCATGCAGGAGATATGCCGAAGCAACTGGTTTTCCAATTAAGTGGGATAGGAAAAAACATACTGTAAGGGACATATCCTGCTCAATGTCTGGAACATGGAAATACTATAAGCCTGAACAACAGCGCACTCGCAATAAGTTCACAAAGAAGACCGGCTGCAAGGTTTACATGAAGCTCAAACATGTGTCTGACATGGATGGTAATAACAATGGCAAGGTTATGATAGACAAGATACGGCTTGACCATAACGATCCACTGACACACCTAGTGTAACAAAGCAAATGCGTTGCCACAAGAGAAAAGAAAAACAAGTAATGGATGATGCAGTTGCTGAAACCGTCACGCCTGAAGTTGGGAATAGATACACACGTGAGCCTTTTCGTTTTTATATTTTACTCACCTTTTATGATAAAAAAAATAGTATTTGTTGTTTAAAATCTTTGCTTTCTCAACAGACCCCGACATTGGCAGAGGATATGATCCCAAAGGTGGGGATGTTTTTCGACACTGAAGAGCATGCATACGAGATGTTCAGGAGATATGCCAAAGCAACTGGTTTTCCAATTAAGTGGGATAGGAAAAAACATACTGTAAGGGACATATCCTGCTCAATGTCTGGAACATGGAAATACTATAAGCCTGAACAACAGCGCACTCGCAATAAGTTCACAAAGAAGACCGGCTGCAAGGTTTACATGAAGCTCAAACATGTGTCTGACATGGAAGGTAATAACAATGGCAAGGTAATGATAGACAAGATACGGCTTGACCATAACGATCCACTGTCAGACACACCTTGGGTAACAAAGCAAATGCGCTGCCACAGGAGAAGAAAAACATGTAATGGATTATGTGGATCACCTTAATGAGCACAATGTACAAGTACTGCTGTGAGGTCAATTCTTGGTGACATGTACGGGAAAAAAATGACAAGTGGGCCATACCTAGCTGAGTATATGTTGGCTCGTTCTAATGGATAGTGGTTTAGTTGTTTGTGACGAGTGATAAAATAGGAGTTAGAGCATCTCTAAGAGTGCCCCATATCCCTTCCCCATCCTTGGAATTTGGGAAAAAAGAGAAAAACTAGTCTCCAAGAGTTCCCCATATCTCAGCCCCATCTTTATGTACTTCGCAAAATCACCGTGACCGCACGTAAAAATACGCGCTGCTCCGTCGCGCGCATATCCTCGTTCCCGCTCCTTCTCGTGCTTCCCGCGATAAATTCCTGCGCCGTCTCCTTGGCGCCATAGCACAGGCTCCATCAATCTACTGCTACGTTCGTCGAGGGCAGAGGATCTTCGGCGCCGTCGACCAAGAGGTAAACTCCATCGATCTACTTCTCCATTCAGGTGTTTTGCCGTTTGTAGGGTTATCCATGCTGCCGCCGCCGTGATTGGCTGCCACCGGGATTGGCCGCCTGGGTCTTGTCGTGGAGGCCGGTGGAGGCGTAGACGGCCTGGCCTTCGCGGAGAGCAGCACCCAGCGATCCGATCAGAGTCGAGTGCTCCAGACCGGGGCTTTTTGTGCCCACGATCCGATCAGAGCGGCGGACGGGCGGTTTAACAGCTACGTCCGCTTTTGGCTGCAGCTCTGCCTCACCTGCCATGGCTAGCAGTGCACCGCTATTTTTTTTATGGAACTGCTATTTTTTTGATGAAACTGCTATTATATTCTTGCCTGAATGTATATGCTACTGTGCCAGCGTGTATGCTGACGGGAGAGAGAGGAGGCTGCATGGCACTGTGATGTACTAATTTTTTTCCTCGTACTGATGGCCGGCTGGTTTTGATACCTGCTGAATGGCTGAATGATTGATTGACATGATTGTGCTACAGATAGTCGGCAAATGCCGGTGCTTTTGATGAAACTGCTATTTTTTTTTCATTTCCTGATCTCTGATCCAGTACAAATACTTTTCATGTACATGGATTAAGCATTGAATTATTGTAGGATGGACCCAACGTTCGATGGTCGATATTGGACAAGCATGGTCACTGGAGAGGATGATGTTCCTGGTTTGGAAGACTACATGTTTCCCATGACACAGGACACCTAGGAAATTGATGAGATGTGTACTGAAGTTCAAGCAATTGATGTGCCGGTGCAGCCAAGTGGAGGTGCTCCACGCCCTCGCAATACAAGGCCTTATTCGAAGAGGACAAAAAAACTTTGATCCGAAGGAGGATTTAGTTGTTGTGGCAGCTTGATTGAACACGAGCAAAGATCCCGTACACGGGGCTAATCAACCTCGTGGCTCCTTTTGGAGTAGAATTCATACTTTCTATGAGAAACACAAGACAACTGAAGCGTTCAGAACAAAGAGTTCCTTTATGCATAGGTGGATGACTATTTTGGAACAAGTGAACAAGTTTTGTGCATGCTACCAAGCGATTGAGCGTAGAAATCAAAGTGGTGCAACCATTCAAGACAAGGTTTAATTTGTTATTTGTTTCATTTGTTCATTTGTTTTGTTTTTCTATTTGATTTATTTGTGGAGATATACACATTGATGATTAATAACATGTGCAGGTTTCTGACGTGGCCGAGATGTTCAAGGGATTAGACAGGGAGAACAAGACATTCACTCTAATGCACTGTTGGAACAAGTTGAAGGGTGAAGACAAGTGCCGAGAGGAAGAGAATGGCGGAGCAGCAAGCCAGTAAGAATAAGAAGAAACAAAAGATTAATGCGGATTCCACGCCTATAAATGTACAAGTCAATAACAATGAAGATGTCACTGAGATTCCACCACCAGAATCCGAAGCACGAAAGAGGCCAATGGGTTCGAAGAAGACAAAGGAAGTTCTAAGGCGAGGAGGTGGTGAAGCTTGTATGGAGGCTTTGGAGAAGATGTAGGCTAAAAAGGAGGCTTTTGAGATGGAGAAGGAAAAGAAGAAAGATGAGAGGTTTATGGCTTCACTTGAGCTAGAGAAAAAGCGCCTATCATTAGATGAAAAAAGGTGGAATCAGACCTCATCGAAAAGGAAGACAAAATAATGTCAATCGACATTACCAACCTCGACCCGCAACAGCAGCAGTATTACACGACGATGCGCCAGCAGATCATTGCTCGTCGTCTTGCAAATTAGAATTAGTTCATGTAATTTTATTTCTATAGCCAATTTGTTTTGGATTCAGTGATTCAGTGAACCTTTGCATTACTTTGTGATTCAGTGAACCTTTGCTTCATCATAAATGGTCAAGTGCTTTTTAATTTATATTATTTATATATTCAATGAAACTTTGTTCTTGCCTGAATGTATATGCTACTATGCGAGGAAATGCCTGTGCTTTTGACATGACCGGTAAGTAGTGCTGCTGCTATTCCTGGTCCTCAACGCCTGATGCCTGCACATACTGTGGTGCATGGAACTGTTCTTTTGACATGACTGCTGAAAGCCTGCAGATTGCCTGCACATGAGGTGTTGCTGCCGCCTGGGAACTGCCTGCTGCGGTCGGCAGGAAGGAGGCGACGGTGATGATCTGCCCACGACGCACGAAAGAGGCAACGCCCCTGCTGAAAGAGCGACGTAGGTTTCTGCGGCACGGGAAAAAAATAACCACAAAAAATAAAAAAGGTTGTGGGCCTTAAATTTAATTTATTGGAACTCAATTATGGAAAACTCTTGGAGATGGGCTTTTTTTCTCCTCCCAATACCTTTTGGGGAGTTGCAAAACTCCAAGATTTGGGGAAATTTTTTTGAGGTACTGTTGGAGATGGCAGAGTTGAACATAATACATTTTATTAAATAATCTAAAAACATTATAGACACAGATGATGGAATGTGGACTGGATTTAAATGAAGAAACCATGCTTTGTGTTTATAGTAAAAAAAGAAATATTATCTAAATGTGAATTGGATAAATGTACCTGTTCTCCAAGTCTTTCCTAGTAATAATGTATATATATATAAAATAAAACTCACTTTCTGTATCTTCGCCTTAGCCTTCGTAAATGCAAGTTCCCTTCCTCCCATATCCAATATTCATGAAAGTACTTCTTTCCATGTAGATGTATATATATTGGTAATATAAAGTGACCCATATATTTTTTTACTTATTATAATATGTATAGGACACATATTTTTTTACATTTCATTATATTATGTATATGTATGTAACCCATATTTTTTACTTACATTATGTATATATTGATATAATAAAGTAAATCAAGTTACTCTATTTAGTTAAAACTTTTTTAGGTTTTATCTTGCCTTAGGCCTTCAATTACCAGCACCAGCCCCCGGCCCGGCTCGAAGAGTTATAATCGAAGCAAAACAGATGGAGTCTAGGGACGCGATGCACGGATTCAGTCTAGGGATCCGCGCGTGCGCAAATGGCATGCATAGCATAGTTGAGGGAGATTGAGAGATGCATCGTGCACGTGCCTTTGTGTGAGATGGACGTGCGGCCGGCCCCGCCGACACCTCGGCTTCACTTCACGTGATCAGGAAGGGTCGGAGCCTCGAAGGGAGAGGAGATCATGGATCATGGATCGTGGATGGCAATAATGTCATGCCGATCAAGATGGAACTGATCGTCGTTTTCTCCCAGTTTTGTTCCTGGCCCGGCACCGCATGTGCTGATGTACGTGGCCGGATCCCACCTCGCCGTGGCACAAGAAATTGTTGCGCGCTTGTCTGTGTCAGCCTCGCTTTGCTTGGACTCTGCTACATCTCGCGGCTTATCCTCTCTGTCTTTCCACCTTCTCACTGTAGTGTGAGATGTGCATGTATACTCAACTTGTAGAATCTAGACTGTTATACAGCTGATATTGTGTCGTGGGCGAGTCAGCAACAGGTAGCATGATGGGATGATGGTCTAGAAGCTGTGTGTGATTTGCAAAGGGTATGCATCGTTCCAAGAATCCAACGGGATAAGACACTTGTAATGTTATATCTTCGTGGCTTCAGGATGGTACGGTATAGCATCACGCACGCACATTTTCAAATGTTTCAGGAACGGAAGTTCCACGCGCGCGAGCTAGGACCTAGGAGCTCCAGTACATCTTTGAAGAGAACTTTTTTTTTGAAGGGAAATATAAATTTTCCGTTACTCAGACAAAGCTGAATCGTCAGCAATAGCAGACTGAATACAAAGTGGAATGAGATCCAGGATCGGATCGTCATCCAAAGACCAAATACTACCAAGAGCAGCTAACTTATGTGCCACACAGTTGCTTGTCCGGTACCGATACTGAACTTGCCATGAAATAAAATTCAGAGACAGTAAGTTCCTTAGCTCCGTCACTACGTTTGCCATTGCACTGAGATCATCGGTACTTGAGTAGACAGCCTGCACCAGGGCCAAAGCATCAGTTTCGATGATCACCCGTCCCACGCCCGCATCAAGTGCAGCCTGTACGCCCTGAATACAGGCAATGATCTCGTTTGAGGTTAAATTGTCCTTTTTCTGAGACCGCGTTTTTTAATGTCAGAAGAAGAAGTTGGGCGGAATGTGTCAAAAACTCACAAATTCAGCCCATGTAAGACTAGGCGTCATCTCTTATTCGAAATGGGCCTGGCCCATTGTTTGTTCGCTTACCAGGAACGGAAGAAAACGTTAGTGAATTCATAGCCAAAGTATCTAGAACATAATATGTAGTATGAACTGTATGTATGATCAAAGTTTTTTTGTGGATGTTTAGGGAAGAAGTTGTCGTCGAAAATCTTCTTCGATTTCAACACCCCGCGAAAGTCGACTTTCGTCTCTCGTGAGACGTTACAGAAGGCCCACATGATAGGATTACTCCAATGACAAAAGCCTCTTGTTTATACCGCTCTCCACCACTTTTACCCAGTCTTCTACTCATCATAATAATAAGGGTTATTTAGATTCGTACCATTATAATGACATGTTTCAAAATAGATGAATAGTAATAGCGTTTCTCCAAACATCGAACTTTTACCCAGTCTTCTACTCATCATAATAATAATCTAAAGAATCGCACTCTGATTATATAGTACAGTACTCCGTAGTTAGTGTCGATTCTGGCACCTGGTGCACGTATGATGAGGAACTAACTGGACAAGTTGGGAGTTCGAGTTGCTTTGGCGCACGTACTGCAGACTGCGAAGGCCGGGATAGTGGACCATGCCATCGTGCGTCGCGTCGTCAGACCGACCACGGGATCCGTGCTCGCCACTTGCCAGGACACGGCGACTCCAGATTTGCGGAGTACTAGCGCCCGGTGCGGGCGCGCGTGTCCGGCTGAAACGCGGGTGCTGCCCCACCGCGCGCTGCTGAATTCTGCGGCTCCCAGCCAGCCACGTCCACACGGGTTTGGGTTTGGGTTTGGGTTTGGGTCTGGGTTTGGTAAAAAAAAAAACTATATATCAGACACCGAAGGAAGGCATGCAAGGTGGGTGACCGCCGAGGATGAAGGACGGGTGGCTGTGTACGCCATCAGGTTTCTACCGTCGGTCTTTGCTTAGGTGTAAGTCGGTTAGACAGTCTGTTAAGGAGTCATTAGCCGGCGCAGTTTGGTAACTGAATCGGCCGATTGCCTTGGTCTATAAAAAGCGCGGTCTGTAACTGAAGAAACCATCGAATATGGAATAGAATAAAACTCGGCCCCGAACTCTGTCTCCCTCCTGAACTCTGTTCTTTCCCTGTTCTTCCTCGCGTTCCTCGTGCGATTCTTGCGATTCTTGCTATTGCTCCCCGCGAGCCTATCCAGTTCTAGAATACAGTCAGGTCCTTGATCCGGGGCCTGACACTATACTACTCCGGCATGATGGGCGCGGGTCGCGTGCGCCACGAGCTCCACGCTCCCCGGCATGCACCGCGTGTGATAGCAGCCTGTGCGCTTGGGGATTGGGGCTTGGCTAGTAGGGTAGTAGTAGCAGTGTAGAGCCGTCTTTCCTGTCCGCTGACCGCTGAAATTGATCATGGTGTTTGCCTGTTTGACACTTGGGCTAGCGTCTCGCCGGGACGAGATGAGATAGCCCACCATGCTTGTGTTATGTCGCTTGTCCATGAATCCATGATGCAAGGAAATTGCTTTGTCCCCACGCATGAATATCATAAACCGGTTGGTTAGGTTAGAACTTGCTCACTCGGATTCAATTCCTCGACTTGACACGTGTGCTCGTATTTTTCTGGATTTACTCTAGGATTTAATTCTTAAAAAATGAAATCCGCAAGAGTTTCGGTGAAACATTTACATGCAAAATAGCACTATAGCAGCACCTGCACGGCACCACGCGTTGCGTATTATTTGCAACCGATCTACTACTCTACCATAAACCATATAGGCGTTCCTCAGGGCCAGAGTTAATTTGCGAATTTAGAGATTCGACCACAACACTCCTAGCTTAGAGTCGTCCTGAGTAGCAGTGTAGTAGGCTTAGTCAAGAATGTTTTTTTTTAGCAGAGCAGATAGCCAACAATGTAGTGGCCTGGTGCGTCCATGCGTGGACGTAAACGGCAGATCGGTACGGTCCACGGCTCGTGGCAGCAGTTGGATCGATCAGTTTGTGGCCACCAATGCAAGCCACAAACTCAATTCCGGACGGTTCGGGGAACGGGAGAAAACAAACGTGCACGCATGCAGCAGGCCTACTAAGTTGTTGACGTAGACTGCGTACCTACCCGGCCGGCTCTCTATCTCATCTCCCTGTCCATGACCATGTGACGAGAAACCACGGTATGGGCATGGGCC